GCCCGGGCCCTCCGGCGCCGCCGCGAAGCCCAGCTCCACGCCGGGAGCCATGCCGCTCGCCCAGGGCCGCCGGGCGCCGAGAGGGGCGGGCGCTGCCCCGGCCCCGCCCCTGCCCCCGCTCCCCTTCCGTAAGGCGGCAGCAGGGAGGAGAGCACCGGGGAAATAAAAACCCTGGAAGACGAGGGCAGAGCTCTGCCCCCTCAACGGACAGCGCAGTCAGCGGTGAGACAGGGAGGCAGAAGAGACGACAGACACGTTATCGACGGTGCTTTAATGTTTAAATATAACATTCATTAAGTAATTAAAATAATGCCAAGCTGCCTTAAAAAAAAAACAAAAACAAACAAACAAAAAAAAAAAACCAGCAAAACCAAAACCAACCCAAACATAAAATACCAAAACACAAAACCCAACACACGTATCAGTTCTGGTTATTGCCCAAGTGGTGATTTGTGCTTGTCATTCATGTGGGCCTTGCCTTGCATTTAGCCAGCCAGCAACGTTTTTTTCTAAATATTAATTTTAAAAGCAAGTTTTTTTATTCCCTGTTACATTTTCACATCCATGAAATATTGGAAACCAATCACATTCCTTGTTACAAGTCTAGAAAAATGTATTTAGGTAGCCATTGCTGTGCACATCTGTTTCAATATTTAAAAAAAAAAAAAGAGACAACGTTTAATTTGTTTTGAAAAACAAAACACGGTGAGGATGTACATACACCTCTAAGCCCCTCAGCAGCAATTCCTAAGTGGTAATGGAGAGAGCTGTCCAGCTGAAGAAACACTTCTCTGCCACCCATGCTTGCAGGCTGGCTGGGCAAGAGTGGAACCTCATCTGGTCCTGTCCCTGCTCCAGTGGGGCAGTGGTCCACGTTCTCAGCAGGAGCTTACATCCACTCACAGCATCAGGAACCGTTTAGAGTCGTGCAGCCACGGGTTTCTGTACAGGTATCCGAGCATCTAACAGAAAAACCCACAGCAAATACTTCTGATCAACATGCTGCAAACACCATGCCAATAAACTACTTCTTACTTTACTGCCCTCAGCCACTGGGTTGCACACTATGTGAAATGAGGAAGATTCAAAGCTGCAGCTAATGACAGCAGAAAAGGCATTGTAAAGAACATTACTAAGATTTTTATGCAGTTAAATCTATGGAACTACTAGGTGGAAAGCACTAAATCTAACATATATGCATTGTCCAAAGTTATTTTTAACTTGAGAAGCTCCCTTCAAATTAGGGAACACTTACCAAACATGTCCAGGATTTTACTAACAGCCTCTTGATTTACATTGTAAGTAAACCCATTTGGCCTACAATTACAAAAAAAAAAAAAAAAGTTTATTCAACAAATATTTCTTATTCCAGTCATTTCTACACAAATAATCTGAATTAAAACATTTCCATGATTACATGGTATCTTTCATCCTACCAGCATACATACCAAATTTAAGGACATGTCAGACTTCTGCTCAAGAACAACCATTATTTCTTCATCTTTCCTCTTGCTCATAGTCCCCAAACTCTGTTGCACTCAATTTATTCCTTTTACTTGAAAGGGGAATTTAGCTATAGACATCTATCTTAACCGATTCACTTCATGAACAGAGGCGTAAGGAAATAGCTCAGGTCATCAGCTGACAACTATGTTCTGTGAAGCACTCAAGGCACTGCAGGGACTTGTTGCACTGGGGACTTCCATGATCATACTTTTAAACATGGTAAGAAATACCACAACACCGATTTGTTTTATAACAGAACAATGCATAACACAGTAACAGGTGGGTTTTGGCCTACAAACCATGAACCGTGTAAAAAGTCTCGAATGATTAAGCTTTCAGTTATCTTGCTCTGAGATGAGTTCAGTGCTGAAGTCCCCCAAAACTAGCAGTGTTCCTGATTATTGCTTGCATTTCCTGACAAGGCTTACTGCAGCACACAGTACTACAAATAAGCAGTGCTGTTCTTTTCTTATCAGAGCCTTGGCAGGAAAGTTGAAAACCAAAAGGTAAAGGGAATCAGAAGCAGCCTACTAGTGAGTTAATGAATTTAGCTGTTAGGTCCCACAGGAGTCTTTCCACTATGAGGGCATGCCATTCCACTTCCACATCATGTACAGAAAGGAACTATTGGGTCTTCTCCATGACTCCAGTCAACCTCTGGTGCTCAGGCAGTTGGGCTTCTGCTGCTCTGCTAGGAGCTCAGACATTAAGAATTGCCACTAAGATTTCTACACACCGGAAATCTATCATTACTTACGTTTTCTTCCTCTTCACTGCACCCAGTTGCACAAGAGCTGATAAGGCATTTTTCTGCATGTCAGAAGACAGCGCTTCATAACACTGTGTACTCCCTATGGAGAAGGGAGAAACACAATTAAAATTTTTACAATTTTCAGTTAACAGGCTGCTCTTGTAAAATCGTATTGCATAACAGCGGTACACACCCTTCTCGAGAAGTTGAAAAACAAAGTTGCGGGCTCCAGGTATAAACTGCTTCTCATTAAATGCTTCTTTCATTTCCTTTGAGAGGTATCTGAAAATTAACTAACATTTTCAAGAAAATGAGAATTCCTTTCTTTTATATTGTCAGCTTGTAATGAATTATAAATAGACGTGTCCTTGTAAGTAAGCAATACTATTCCACTTTGAAGAGCACAGGAGAGGAACTCAAAAGGTACCATTGCACAGGGCATCTGGAAGCTTTATTACTGTTTTACAGGTAAGAGAATCCCAATATTAAACTAAGACTCAGTATTTCTATAGACACTAAATTTATATTCTTGTTTTTACAACCAAAAACAGTTTAATTTTTTTAAAGCAATACCTTTTCTGAAGATGAGAACAAATGGGCACATCAGTACAGTTCCACCCACTTTACACATCAGATCATTAACTAGATTCCACTACAGTAAACATCTACAGTCTCATCAATCTTATACTGACTTACCAGACATCTGGGTTTCTATGCATTGCTTACTACAGGAATTTAAATATTTAATCTTATTAAAACCTTGGGAAAACCAGAAGAATTTAAAGATATATGGATGTAATTAATGACTCCCATAAAAGTTATCAGATAGGAGATGAAAACTCATTTTCACACCTGGCAGGACAGCCCACACAAAATGAATTAAGCAAGAGCTCCTCATAAAAAAGAGCAATGAACCTGCTAGCAGCACACTCCCTGTGAATCTTATAAACCCACAATGAGCCATCACATTACACAGTAGTCACGGCTTTAGTAAATTGGACAAGTCTGAGCCAAAAGCTAAAACTGGGATCCTTGGGGGAGGGTGGTGTTTAAGATTCATTACTGCTATTTCTTAACTTTTGCATTTCTCAGCCTATTTACACAGCAGTATCACAGCTCTCTTACTTTCCCTATAAAACACAGGAAGAAAAAGAGATTGTTTTCTGAAGGGCAACATACCTGATAACCTTCCACAAAAGGTCTGAACATAGCTGACAAGAAAGACACTGTACCACTTCCTTTGTCAGTAGGGTAAATCTCCTGTTGACTCGTTTGAATGGCATCACATTTTGTGAGTAGAAAACATCCCTCCTCAAAATCCTGGGTGAGAAATGCATAACTAAAATTCTAACATTTACAGAATTGCAGCTACCATTTCCCCACAAAATCAACAACAGAAACCACAACAGGGCACCACTTTCATTTCTGAACTCAGTTCTCAAGAGACTTGAACCAAAACTTTCCTGTCTCCCACAAATACCTTTATAAAAAGGCAGCGGGAACATGTTCTTAAACACAGCAGTTCCTCAATGGACAACAGGCCTTGGCACAAAGAAAGTGGCCGTGGCTGTTAGTGCAGCAGCCAGCCTGAGCACCCTCAGGATTTTGTCAAAACAGGGTCAGGTTGTCCAGTTTAGGGCTTTTTCCTGTGGGTGTTTTATTTATTTATCTATTTTTAAACTTAGGGTTTGCCTTTATCTCATGTCCACTGTTTGCAATAAACAGTAACACAGACCACTGACCTGCCCTCTACCAAACAGAAAACAAAATGTACAAAAAGTTACAAAGTATGGAAATGTCAAGGACAAAACCAATTTACCACCAATATGGGTGAAAGGGGGACAGATAACAGGAAGGGATGGGACAAGGACATGACAGACACATGAATGAATAAAGGGGTGAGTGGGTGGGTAAAAGATTCCTCAGCATCACAGCAACTCTTTCATCTTACTGCAGCAAAGTCAATCATAGCCAGCCACCCTTCCGCTCCCTGCTGCTATCTGCTATTTCAAAAAAGTAGCAAGAGGCAACAATTGCTAACAAATAAAACTTAACAGTGCCAGTCAGACTTTAAAAAAGACAATTCTCATCTATGTAAAAATTTATGAGATTTTAATGCATTTGCAAGTCTTGAACATTTGTGTGAAAATTATACTTATCTCTTTTTCAATGCACAAATATCATAACTATGACCATCATGTATTTGTCTTTAGCATTGATAAAAATCACATGTAATCAGCTCAAAATCCAAATAAAAACTACACATACCAATTTATCTTGTGAGGCTGAACCAGATATTTTTTTACTGATAAACTTGTCTGCACCTGAAGTTTGGGGCAGAGCCAGCTTGGACCCAGCAGGTTTGTGTACAAACTGACAGAGCAAATCCTGCAGAGAGCCAAGGGGTGCCTGCAGTTTTCCCAGCTTGCCTGTATCCAGCTGTGCTAGGGGTGCACACAGGCACACTGAGACCTGGAATATTATCCAGGGCTCCTGGATATTAATTAATCCAGTGTGCAGGAACAATACTGGCTTTGTCTGACTGATGGCTGCATGGGGCAGAAGGTAAAATGAGGGGAAACTTTTGAAGCAAAAATGGATGCAAGTAAAGCTTCCATAAGACTCTTATGAGGGAAGCTATCATGCCATTAGGAAAGCTCTCACTTCAAAATCCTTCATAGGTTGCACCCCTGACAGCATTTGCACTTCATTGTTTTAACATGTATTTTCAGATCTGTGCTGGAAGACTAGTAGCTTTATGCAAAAAAGCCAAATTTGTGCTGCAGTTCATTTT